CTTCGTTCATATTCCATTCTGCTATGACTTTAAGGTATTTGTCGAAAATGTCTTCCTTGGACTCAAACCTGGTATTAAAATTATTCACGGTTGAATTTTTAAGTGTTTCTACATAATCTTGGTTAGTGTAAAGACGAAAACGTTCGAAGAATGTTCGATAATTCTGGATTATTTCAGGATTTTGCATAGTCGATCCGTCTTCTATGATTTGAAATCTATAATAAGAAGTCCTTAAAAGGTCGAGACTGTCTTCACCTGACTCCTTAATCGGTTTCAAGTAAAACTGTTCTCCTTCGAGTTTAAATTGTGTTTTATCCGAAATATCCGTTCCGTAGGTAGTGAACAAAATAAATTGTTGCGCTGCGCCCTTTATGCCTTGGACGGAGTTGAAATATTTGGCTATGCTAAAGTTTCCCTTTTTCTTTGTTAAATCAAATGTATTGAAACATTTTTCGTTATTACTGTGTTTTAGCTGCATTGCTTTGGTTTCAATGCCCAGGTCTGTCTCAATTTCGATAACCACATCATCAAAATCGCCAAAATTTTGGTTGTTCGACGAAATGTAAAAGTCTCTTACTTTACTGTCGCTTACCAACTGAAGGATTATGTTAGCCATAATCATGTCTTCGTACTTTTGACCCTTGATGGTCGTTCCGGATCTTTTTTGAAAAGTCTGAAAATAAAACAACTAGTGATTAAACTGTACTGCAATTTTCTGCAATAAATTTACCTTTTCCAGAACAAACTTGTTTGTTGTTTCTGCATCTATTTTTCGTTGCTTGTTTGGAATTACACTTTCTTCAGTCACTTCTTTAATTTTTTTATTGTCTGCAGATGTCTTAATGGGTTTGTTTGGAGTACATTCTGCTCCTGTCAAATTTACCTGCAGAAAAAAATATTTTTAATTTACTAGAGACAAATAAATGATACTTTAATTTTTTGTCGCCTCAAAACTAAATAAGTAACCGAGATTTATTTCCTCTTTAATCCATTTACCTTTTTTGGAAAAAAATTATTCCTGGTTTCTGCACGTATTTTCCTTCTCTTCTTCGGATGCATACTTTCCTTAGTTACAACTTTAACGTATCGATTATCTCCAAATGCTTTAATTTGGCTATATTGGATATCATCTTTTGTGAAATCTATCTGCTGAAAAGAATATTTTTTTAATGTCTAAACAAACGCACGCTAAATATTAAATTTTGCGAGTTTGTCAAAAAAAAATAAATTTAAATAAAATTAGTAAAACTGTGTCTGGATTTCATAGAAATGAAAGCTTGGCACAAAATGGGTAACAAAACTTATTTAAACGTCATGATTTGACAATATATAAATATCTCTAGTGTGAATATATTCCAACATGGTAGCCAATATATTTTTTTATTGTAGTAAATAGAATGAATTATAATACCATTTTTGAAGAACAAGGATTTTCTTTAGATTCGTGAGTGTGCAACAGACTATTGCTTTTTTCTTCACGCTTTTTTCGTTTTCTTTGTTCTATTTTACGTTCTAAGTCTTTTATGTTTTCCTTCCACTTTTTGATTTCTTCGTCAGAACTGGAGCTCATGGTGACAACGTTCAATGTATCTGCTGAAAAAAGTACCATTTAGTAATCAATCTATCAATTAAAAGTAAATTAGTGGCGGTCAAAAACATAGTTCCTATTCCTACACTATATACCTACATCATTTTATCTTTGTAGTCTACCAAAAATTAATTACTATGCTAATCAAGAAAAAGGTTGTTGCCTTAATAAAAATTCGTGATAATAATTCAGATAAATCGTAAATTAAAAAGAATTGTGTTATTTGTAAAAAAAAACGTTAGATAATATCTACATGTTACGTGTTATGAAAACCATGATATTTGTTTGTTGCCATAAACACGAGCAAAATTCAATAAATTTAAAAAAAAAATTGTCTACAATTTTATCCCAAGTTGGCAACGATTAAATTTTCGTCAGCAGCCATCTTGTAATCACGAATTAGCAACATCGTCAAACTCAATTTAATTAATACCTACTAAATTCTTATATCAAAAAATACGTAATTCACAACTTACCCGTCACGAACTTTACCTTTTCTTTAAGGTTTACAGCAGCAGAAACTTGTAGTAATTATTTCATAATTATTATTGATCTGACTTTGTTACGCACTAGGTAGAACTGACATTATCTCTAATGTTTTGTTCAAAAACGGTGCGATATTCTAAAGCTAATGTCAACAAATCTGATAACTTATAAGTAGAGCTGTGCGGTTCAAATTTATTTATCCCCACTATCCGTCCCATCAGGCCAGCAGTGCAGGCCGCTGCAGTCTTGCCTTCCTCGCTTCTCGCTTCTCATTGTGTATTATTTTACATAATTCACATCAATCGTTTTATTGTCAACGAGACCGACACTTGAACATTATTAAAATTATTATTCTTATTATTTCGTGGGTATGGATTTTAAAATCATCAACTGATTTTCAGTGAACATTATTTTTCGCGTAAATTTCTTCGCGATACGTAACATCGGCTGCGAGACACTGGTCTCCCGTAGTAGGGGTCGATTCGCAACGTTTAAATTTGGACCGCACAGCTCTACTTATAAGCGTTATCAGGACCTTCAAGATATGAAAATTCCGGAAAAATATAGTGTGATCACGTAATTTTTTTTACTGAACTGTAATAGCGTTCATTAGACAAATGGCCAATTTATGGTTTTCTCGACGTTTCATAGCTTCTAAAATTTGGAAAAATAAGCCTTCAGTTGTTATCGGTCGTTTGTCTGTCTGACGTCAACAAAAAAAAATCAATACGAATTGAAGGAATCAAAAGACAAACATATTTATTTCAAAACATACACAGATATAACACTATGCAACAAATTAAAAAAAAATAAAATTCACAGAATGCACAGTATGTAGTTAAAATTTCTTACCTCAAACTCAATTGAGGATCATGCTTGAAAGAATCGTATCACATCAGGTTTCAAAGTGAAAAGTGTTTATTGAATTTTTTGAAATCATACAAAATTAATAAAACAAAGCTTCATTTTTCATTGAAAAAGGTCTTTTTTTTCGAACGATTGGCATTCTTATTGTAGCCAGATCTCGCAGTATCCCTCTGAAGACACCAACAGAAGTCTGCAAGCATGGGTGGATACATAAAAGCGATATTTTTACGATTAACTGCAATCAAGTGACCCAAAAAGTAAGAAAAACAAAACACCCGTTATATATGTTTTATGATGTGATATGGGTATAAAACATTTTTTTCTTTAGTATATGGAGTATAGGTACCCAACCTATCACATCAGGTATCACAATGAAAAGTGTTTATTGAATTTTTTGAAATCATACAAAATTAATAAAACAATACTTCATTTTTCATTAGAAAAGGTCTTTTTTTTCGAACGATTGGCATTCCTATTGTAGCCAGATCTCGCAGTATCCCTCTGAAGACACCAACAGAAGTGTGCAAGCATGGGTGGATACATAAAAGCGATATTTTTACGATTAAATGCAATCAAGTGTCTCAAAAAGTAAGAAAAACAAAACACCCGTTATCTATGTTTTGTGATGTGATATGAGTATAAAACATTTTTTTCTTTAGTATATGGAGTATACCCAACCTCAAACACTATCTGAACTTTCTGTGAATTTTTTAGTGTTGCATAGTGTAATTAATTCTACAAGTTATCACAAACACAATTTAGCGTAATGAAGCAATTTTTACAAAATAAGTGTAAGTAACAAATTTGTTAATCATTACAGTCGGTACATTTAAATATTTCTCTGAAAAGATCATGTACCTAATTCGTATTACGTGGTGATAATTTTGTCAAACACATTTCCTCTGTTATGTTCATTTTTAAGATGTGGACAAATTTAATGCTTACACTTCAGTATTTACCTTTCATACGTCTTAATTACTACTTTTTGAAACAAACACTACAAGTTTGGCAAAATATTATAGTTCACAGCATTCAAACTCAAGAGTCTGCATTAAACCTAAAATTATAAGAGTGAAACTGAAATCGATTTTTTGCAAAGTGGCATCTGATCAAATGTATCGTTGGAGCACTGATTTTATTTTTTATTATAATTTCTGTACAAGTTGTTAAACTTTCGTCCGATAGTTGTTTAATGTATGATACGGATTTTTGCTGCCTTCTGACGAAAAAAAATATTTTCTAAAATTTCGTCTTTAGATAAACAGAATATTTGTGACGACGTACACTTACCTAGAGGAAAGAGGCTAAAATTCAGCCGAGTGTAGTGAAAATATAGAAGTAACAAGATTGGCAGTTAGTTAAAACAAAAATCCAAAATTATTTACGTTTTGCTTGAAAGAGAAAAATATAGAGCGAGATGACGTCATCAATTTTTTGGGAGTAGATAAACTAATAAATTTTAATTAACCATTAACCATAATTTCAATAACCTTAAAACATTTAGTCTAGAGTGCAAACAGAACACAGGTTCGTACATCACAAGCAAATGAGTATCTTATTTTATAAAATTAAAAAAATATACATTACTGTAAATTTTGAAGATGACGTCATATCATTGGTGGTGGAGATCATTAGCCAAATTTTGGTTAGTGTAGTTTCGGAGATTACGTGTCTACTGAAAATCGACACAGAAGCCGGACCAACAGACACAAACCAGAGATCACTTTTCTCCTACTCTAGGACTCGTAAAACGTCGATAAAACATGAAAATGACAAGTCTCCCGATGGACTCAATTACTCGCTCAGGAAGTAAAAATATTGATTCTAACCTGACCTGTTTTTGAATTAATTTTGGGACGAAGTTGTTTTTTTTTAGTTTAAAACAAACTTAAGGGCCTAGGTATTCCTCTTTGGAAAGAATTTAAAAGTACTTTCGAGTGTCTTTTATTATAATAATTTAATTAAATTGCTTACAGGATACGTCATTTGCCAAAATCAATCTTACCGTAGCAGGAACTAGCCCCGCCCACCCGCCCTCTCTTTTCTTAGAGTGTGTCATTTGCCAAAATCAAGTTTATCTTACCAAGTACTGATGACTAACTTTCACAAAAAATGATCAAAATTTGGCAACATTACGAGCTTACTTATATTCACAAGGCAGAAATTTTGGGCATGTTGTCTAGTATTTGGTTGGTTATGCTTCAATGGATTTTTCTTCTGTTGTTTTCGTTTTTGTTTATAATTTTTAAAATATCTTATGAAATGTTTTTTTGGTTTCTTTATTAATAAAAAGAATGTTTTTATTATTTGTTTGGCAGTCCCGAAACCCCCGCACATAACGCACTGAAGAAATAATCTCCCATCTTCCATTCACACGGTAAAGCTATCGAAAATCCTTTAAATTATTTAAAAAATAAAACAGGAAAATTGAGTTAACAAATTGCTCAGAATAATAAGCTGTTAATCATTTTTTATCGTGAACAGATATTCACAATAAACATTTTCATAAAATGTCGGTCTCTTTTTTCGAAAATTATTTGTTTGTTTTGATGATAAAATTACCAAAAGGAGCCTACCAAGCCAATTCTAAGTGTTTGGTGTTTTCTACAATAAAATGAAACAGAAAAGATGAAATCATTGCCACTTAAATTACGTCGTTTCACCATTCATTAATAGAAATTCTACTATTTTCTTGTGGTGATACTTATACGCTATGTCAAGTGGTGTCTGACCATATTTATCACACCGTTTTGCATCTGCTCCGGATTTCACTAGGCATTCGACGATCTTTTCGTAGTTGCCCATTGAAGCTGCATGAACCGGTGTCCGATCCTGATTATCAGCGAGATTGACTTCGGCTCCGGATTTTACTAGATATTCAACAGCTTTTTCGTGACCGTGTTCAGAAGCCACAAAAAGCGGTGTTCGATCATAATTATCACCGCCATTGATTTCAGCTCCGCATTTCACCAAGCATTCGACAATCTTTTCGTGACCCCTGGACGATGCTTCGTGAAGTGGTGGCCAACCATGTTTATCAGCGCTATTGATTTCGGCACCGTGTTTCACTAGATATTCGACAATTTTTTCATCACCATTCTTAGAAGCTGCGTAAAGCGGTGTATAACCATCATTGTCACAACGATTAACGTCGCCTCCGGATTTCACTAGACATTCGACAATTTTTGCATAGCCTTTTGAACAAGCAGCGTACAGCGGTGTCCGACCATTATTAACAATGCAATTGATTTCGGCTCCGAATTTCACTAGACTGTCGACAATTTCATGGTGGCCGTTGAAGGTAGCCGCGTAAAGTGGTGTCACACCATCATTATCAGCACGATTGATTTCGGCTCCGCATTTCACTAGGTGTTTGACCATGTTCTCGTGGCCGTTCGAGGCAGCTGCATGAAGCGGTGTCCAACCATCGTCATTGGCCCGATTGATTTCGAGCCCAGTTTTCACTAGACATTCGACAATTTTTTCGTGGTCGTTCGGCAAAATCGCGTTAGGTGGTGTCACTTCACCGTCACTACTGCGACTGATTTCGGCTCCGTATTTCACTAGGTATTGGACGATGTTTTCGTGGCCGTTCAAAAAAGCCGCGTTAAGTGGTGTCCAACCATCATTTGTCGAGCGATTGATTTCGGCTCCGCATTTCACTAGACATTCGACAATTTTTTCGTGGCCTTTCGAAGACGCTGTGTAAAGCGGTGTCCAACCATCATTATTAGCACGATTTATTTCGGCTCCGCATTTCACTAGATATTCCACAACTTTCTCGTGGCCTTCTGAGCAAGCCACGTTAAGTGGTGTCGCACCATCACTATTACCACGATTAATTTCCGCTCCGAATTTCACTAGACATTCGACAACTTTTTCGTGGCCATTGGAAGAGGCTACATAAAGTGGTGTGCAGCCATTCTTTACAACATGATTGATTTCTGCTCCATATTTCACTAGACATACGACAATTCTTTCGTGACCGTTCGAGGAAGCTGCGTAAAGCGGTGTATCACCATTATTATTAGCGTGATTGATATCGGCTGCGGATTTCACTAGATAATAGACGACTTTTTCGTTACCATTGAAAGCAGCTGCGTAAAGCGGTGTCCAACCACTGTTATCAGGATGATTAATTTCGGCTCCACATTTCACTAGGACTTCGACAGTTTTTTCGTGGCCTACCCAGGAAGCTGCATAAAGTGGTGTCTCACCAGACATATCAGTGACATTGATTTGGGCTCCGCATTTCACTAGGCATTCGGCTGTTTTTTCCTTGCCATTTAAACACGCTTGGTAGAGGGGTGTGCGACTATTATATATAGCCCGATTGACTTCGACCCCGCATTTCACTAGGCATTCAACAGCATCGTGGTGACCGTTCGAGGCAGCTGCAAAAAGTGGGGTCCACCCAGCGGCATCATCACGATAAATTTCGGCTCCGTGTCTCACTAGATATTCGACAATCTTTTCGTGGCCGTTCGACGAAGCTGCGTAAAGCGGGGTCCAACCATTATCAACAGCGTGATTGATTTCGGCTCCATATTTCACTAGATATTCCACGATTTTTTCGTGGCCGTTCGACGAAGCTATATAAAGTGATGTCCGGCCACCATTTGTGGCGCGATTAATTTCCGCTCCGCATTTCACTAGGAATTCGACGGTTTTTTCGTGGCCGTTAGACGCAGCTGAGTAAAGAGGGGTCCAACCACATTTATTATCAGCTCGAGTCGTTTCAGCTTCGGTTTTAACAAAATATTCTATAACTCTCTGTGAAGCCATTGGCAAAGGAGTTTCATGACTGTATTCAACAATAAAATTTACTTCGTTACAAGAAGATACAGAAGTTTCGGAAATAACCGTTTTAACAGCGTCATCGTAACCCAACTGAGCAGAATAATACAAAATATTAATTCTATCATTTCTACTATACGATTGTTGGAATTCCAATTTTCTTGACTGTAATAATTCCAGTTCCGCCCCCAAACTTTCACTTTCCCGACAGCATTCCAGAGGCGTGATTTTCAGTAACGAATCTTGCTCAGAAATGTCACATTTGTTTAACAAAAACAGCAATGCCTCGTTATAATCTCCTGTGTCTAGTGACCCTTTAAACTCCCAATCGTTCTCGACTACATAAACATTATCTCTTTCTTCTACATCTAAACGTCGATGTCTTTGTCCCCAAGAACAAATGAGATGTAAGGCACTTCTTCCACCATCGTCTTTACGCTTTATTGTTTCGTCATCATAATTCTTTAATTCGTTAAAATTTTTGTACAAGACCGCAACGTGGACCGGTGATTTTTTACCAACTAACATGTCGAAGAAAAACCGTACATTGTTATACTTTGCATCAAAAAATATGTCCCTGCGTATCATTTTAAAATTTCTAGAAAAATACAAAGCAACAAAATACTCGGCAAAGGAAGCGTGCACGAATTGCGGAATGCCATTCTGTAGTCCAGTGATGATACCAACAGTTCCGCATTCATCAGAAACTACCTCTACATCTTGTGAACAATCGATCTTTAACTCTTCAAAAATGTCTTCAGGAAAAATTAATTTAAGTGCGAACTTCTCATACTGCTCCAATTTTTTTTCTTTCTTCTTTCTGACTTCTTCTTCCCAGTAGTCACCTATTACCGGCACTTTGCCTCCGAAAAAGAACTTGAATTTTCCATCAATAAAATGGCTATATAAATCAGTAAAGAGAAAGTTACTCTCCAACAAGTCTAAATAATCTTCATTTTGAAGAAATATCTCTGTGAGCATAAAAATCTGAAGTGGAATCCCCAAAATATCAATATGTTTTGTGAATGCAAACGTGGATTTAATTTTGTCGATCGTTCTTTTCATATCCCCAGAGGAAACAACAGTCTCAAGACGTTTTCTAATGTACTCTTCTTGATCACTGTCGCTGAACTGGTTAATACTCACCGACAACACGTTAAATTTTTTTTCAAGAGAGGACTTTAAGTGTTGCCTTGCGGTAACCCACTGAACGAAACCTTTTTGCGATAACATGAAGATCAAGTCTGAAGCAGCGTCCAAATTTTTGGTTAAAATTTCATCGAGAGCGTCCCACACGTAGACGACGTTGTTTTGCTTCAAACACATTTTGAAAAATTCTAGATCTAATTGTCCAAGATGTTGATATTTTTGGTTTAAGATGAATAATTCGAACTGATTTAAGTAATCTGATGCGTCACAAGTTTGTAAAGTTTTAAACAATGAATTAATATCTTGAGGATTCATGATCACCGTCCAATATTTAGAACAACAACCGTTTTTTAGACTTTTTGTTAACTCAGTTTTCCCCATTCCCGGGTCGTCTGTTATTAGATTAATGTGGTAGCTGAAACCGAAAGACCAAAATTCTTTTTCGTTTTTGGAATGATTATTTAACTTATAATTTTGCAATTCACCAACTTCACCGTTACTTTGTATCCATTCTAAATTTTTACCATCAAGAAATTTAAAATGATGTACTATTTTGGAACCCAGTGTTTTAGAACACACTTTCTGAAAATCAAAGTCGCTACATTTATTCTTACTCACTATGAAAACAGGAGTCTGGGAAATTTCGAAATTTACAGCAGCGATAAAATCGTTTATATCAATTAGAGTATGCCCTCTGGATATTTTTAACTGTTCAGAATTTTCTTCACAATTGATAATGATAAAAGTGTCTTGATTAACATGTTCTAAATATTTAATATCTATAACATTGACCGATAAATTTCTTTCGATATAAACATTGGGAAAAGCTTCCTTTTGTCCGCCTATACAGCAAGGACCATTTGACATTTCTAAAAGTTCGTTTACCGTTACGTGCTTTAACAACACTTCATTTTGTTCGAAAGCAATTTTCAAATTAACTTCATCTTTTCCTTGCAAAGAAATAGTAAAATTTTGTAGCACTTTTTCACATAAATCAAGTTTTGACTGTAATTGTGACAAGTTCTGAAACACGGAACGATCTATCATCCATTCTTTACATTTTCCTTCACCAAGCAAAACAAATTTTGCGTCATGGCATAACTGAATAGCTTTTTCCACATTTTCGTGTTCTTGCACGATTAATGGACATTTGTCCATCAACCAAAATAATTGTGTCAACGTATTTGCATCTATACCTTCTAGTGTGTTTATATTACTATAAGAAAGAGAATAAAGTGCCCTTAGCCTGTTCAGTTCCTCAAAGTTAATGTCTTTGCCCGAATCACTCCACAATCCTTTAACTATGTCGCGATTTCTTGTTACGGCCAAAGTAATATCAAACCCACAAATAGCCTCTCGAAGGATTTTCGCTTTGTCGTTAGCCGAACCATCAAATATAAAAGGTTCAACGTGAGGAGATAACAACTGAAGAGCAATCGCACTTTGCATCATTTTCTTGCTTAATTTTTCCTTTTTCTCTTCGTTCATATTCCATTCTGCTATGACTTTAAGGTATTTGTCGAAAATGTCTTCTTTAGATTCAAACCTGGTATTAAAATTATTCACGGTTGAATTTTTAAGTGTTTCTACATAATCTTGGTTAGTGTAAAGACGAAAACGTTCGAAGAATGTTCGATAATTCTGGATTTTTTCAGGATTTTGCATAGTCGATTCGTCTTCTATGATTTGAAATCTATAATACGAAGTCCTTAAAAGGTCGAGACTGTCTTCACCTGACTCCTTAATCGGCTTCAAGTAAAACTGTTCTCCTTCGAGTTTAAATGGCGTTTTGTCCGAAATATCAGTTCCGTAGGTAGTGAACAAAATAAACTGTTGCGCTGCGCCTTTTATGCCTTGGACGGAGTTGAAATATTTGGCTATGCTAAAGTTTCCCTTTTTCTTTGTTAAATCAAACGTATTGAAACATTTTTCGTTATTACTGTGTTTTAGCTGCATTGCTTTCGTTTCGATGCCCAGGTCTGTCTCAATTTCGATAACCACATCATCAAAATCGCCAAAATTTTCGTTGTTCGACGAAATGTAAAAGTCTTTTACTTTACTGTCGCTTACCAACTGAAGTATTATGTTAGCCATAATCATGTCTTCGTACTTTTGACCCTTGATGGTTGTTCCGGATCTTTTCTGAAAAGTCTGAAAATAAAGCAACCAGTGATTAAACAGTACTGCAATTTTCTTTAACAAATTTACCTTTTCCAGAACAAACTTTTTTGTTATTTCTGCATCTATTTTTCGTTGCTTGTTTGGAATTACACTTTCTTCAGTCACTTCTTCAATTTTTTTATTATCTGTAGATGTCTTAACAGGTTTATTCCTGGTTTCTGCACGTATTTTCCTTCTCTTCTTCGGATGTATACTTTCCTTTGTTACATCTTTAACGTGTCGATTATCTCCAAATGCCTTAAATTGGCTGGCTTGGATATCATCTTTTGTAAAATCTATTTGCTGAAAACAATAATTTTAATTGTCTACGGGCAAATAATACGTTAAATGTTATCAAATTAATATCAGTTAACCAGTTAAATAACAGTTCTAAGCTTTCATCTTTCTGTTTCAAAAATTATTATTGTAAAAGTTTAGCGACACCGACAAAAAATTGTTTGGCAACATGGCGTCCAATATTTGTTTTTATTTATTTTTTATTGCAGCAAATAGAATGAATTATAGTACCATTTTTGAAGAACAAGGATTCTCATCAGATTGACACGTGTGTAACCCACTATTATTTATTTTTTCACGCTTTTTTCGTTTCTTTTGTTCTATTTTACGTCTTAACTCTTCTTTCCACATTCTGATTTCTTCGTCGGAACTGGAGTCCATAGCGACAACGTTGAATATATTTGCTGAGAAAAGTACTATTTAGTAACCAAACCGTCAAATAGTTATCACGAATCAGCAACATCTACAAATCAATTTCATTAATACTAAATTCTTATATAAAAAACTACGTAATTTGCAACTTACCCGTTACGATTTTTCCTTTTTTTAACATTCACAGCAGCAGAAACTTTTACTCTGAGTTTGTTACTCAGTAGGTAGAACTGACTTTATCTCAATGTTTATTTAAACGGTGACTATTCTAAAGGTGTTGTCAACAGATAACGTATTATCAGGACCTTCAAGATATGAAAATTCCGAAAAGGTGTAATAATGTGATGATAAAACGATAAGTGTAATGTTCATTTTTTCCTAGTTGCAGCACCTATTTTTTTACAGAACTTTAATGGCATCCACTAGACAAATTTATTCTCGTCTCGACATTACATAGCTTCTAAAATATTGAAAAACAAGCCTTCCGACTTGGTAAAGTCTATTTACACCTATACAGAAGAAAGTAACTTCTTCAGATTTGAATGAAAAAAAACTGAGATATTTTAGGTTAATAAAACATAAATCAACAAACAAACATGTTTATTTCGAAACATACAATTCATTTTGTAATTTATCACGAACACAGTTTAGTCGTGATGTTGCAATTTTAACAATATCAGAAACAAATTTCTTAATTATTAGATACGATTATTATTATTATTATTTCTGCTAGCGAATTAGCAAAATCAGTTACACATAATAGTACAATATAGTAGGTACATAATAATCCATACTAGTTACTATAATTGTTTTAAATTGGATAAATGACAAGTGAAGGTTATTGGTAGAAAACAATATATGTCACATTTTGAGTGATGTTTCACAAATTGAATCAACATTGATTTGATACACCAGGAGAAAATACTGCTAGTCTTGATTATTGTGTATGAAAAAAAAATCTTGTTTAGTGAATCAATCACCATTTGAGACACTAGAATTAATCCTCCAATTGATTTAAGGTTAATTATAAACATAGATACAAAAACGGGTGTGTCAGAGTGTACTCTTAATTTAGAAATGACAAAGGGCAATTAAGACAAAGGATCTCTTCTAATTCTAATAATAGGATTGGAAAAACTGAGTTAACAATTGGCCAAAGGTGTTAAGACCTGATTATTTACTATGAGAACATGAGCATCTGAGTCTTCATGAAATGTAAGTCAAATTGCAATAATAGCTATATATAGGAATGTTATGGTTTTTGTTACAGTCGCCGATGTCAAGTTGAAATCCAAACTCGTAGAGCAAGGATTTTAAGACATGTGATAAAATTTCTAATTTCAAATATTCTTCTTTAACATCGTGTGACGTTGAGAGATCTTTCTCTAGGTACAAAAACGTTCTAACAGACGAAAAAAAAAAAAAGAGTGCATCGACCCAGGGACGCACGGATGGAGTTGACGAAGTTATTAAACTTAAAAAATAACAAAAACGAAAAATATGTTGCATTTGTATTTTTTGACCTTTAATTATTATAATTTTTAAAAATTGTAATATTTCAATGCACTGGATTAATTAACCAATTCTGGAAAACAAGTCGAAATTAGCGTGGAAATGAGGCCGAAAATGACCTACTCATCTAAGGAAAGGTGCTAGCCCCGCCCACCCACCCTTTGGTTTCTTAGAAGGTCATCTGCCAAAATCAGTCTTATCTTGACAAGTACTAGCCCCGCCCACCCACCCTTACTTTCTTAGAGGATCTACCATTTGCAAAAATCGGTCTCATACTTGCCAAGATAAGACTGATTTTGGCAGATGGCCTACTCTTCCAAGAAAATAAAGGGTGGGTGGGCGGGGGGTATGTTTTCTTAGAAGAGTAGATCATTTGGCAAAATCAGTCTTATCGTGGCGAGTACTAGTAGATTTTTCAGTTCTTCGATTTTTCAACTTTCGAATTTTTCAATTTCTGACTTTTTAAATTTTCAATTTTTGGATTTTTCGATTTTTCAAAATTTCGGTACGAATAAATTTGTTCTTTTAGTCAAAAATCAATAATTTCAAATTTTGAAAATATCTAAAAATGTCTCACTTTTTATTTTTAAGATTTTGAAAGAATGGTAGAAAATTTCGAACTGATAAACTTCTGGAAGTCTAAACAAAACAATTTTTTTTTTGGTAATTTTTGATGATGTTCGGGAGAAGGTCAAAACTTGTACACAATGGGAATGTTGAAAATTTGAGTTACTCGTGAAATTAAGAAAAAAAGTATGATTTCCAAAAATTATTGAAAAAAAAAGTGATTGCTCACGATTGAAACGTCCATCATATAAAATAATCCAAAGTCGATATGGCGATTGATTTTGGAAATATTGGGATTTGATGTAAAATTTTTAAAATGACTCAAAATTTGTCACTTTTTATTTTGAAAATTCTGGAAAAAAGGTTGGAAAATTCGAAGTAATGAAGTCAATACTACATTTATTATAGAAAATAACTCAAAGTCAATATTGTGACTGATTTTCGAAATATTAGGATTTAAATTCAAATTTTTAAAACATCTAAAAATATCTCACGTTTCATTTTGACGATTTTGAAATAATGGTAGAAAATTTCGCACAGATAAACTTCTGGAGGTCTAAAAAAACATTTTTTTTTTTTGGAAATTTTCAATGATACTCGTGAGAAGGTAAAAAATTTCATGCAGTTGTCTAAAAAGAAATAAAAAATTCTGAAAAATAAATTTCGACAAGCTGAATATAAATACACAATAGTAGTAACATTTTTGTTAAGGAGTTATTTAGGGACAACTCTGGAAAAAATGGGTGGCCAAAGATTATAAAAAAAATCATGGTTATGTAGGAATAATATTTCTATCGGAGAAAATAATCCGAAATCGATATGGTGGTCGATTTTTCGAAATATTGTGATTTAAAGTGAAATTTTCTAATATTTTTCTATTTGAGAAAATAATTCAAAATCGGTATGGCGACCGTTTTTTGAAATATTGGTATTTAAAGTAAAGTTTTCAAAATGTTTCAAAATTTGTGACTTTTCATTTTGATGATTCTGGAAAAATAATAGAAAATTTAGAAGAAATGAAGTTATAACAAACTTCTGGAGGTCTAAGTACACAAAACAATTTTTTTTAGTAATTTTCGATGATGATGGGGAGAAGATAAAAAAATTCCTACAGGGGAGTATTGCAAAATTGAACCTTTGGACAAGTTGTCTAAAAACCAACAAAAAAATATGGGAAATAAATTTCGATAAATTTCCGATTTTTAGAACACAGTATAGCCTCCATAATCCGAACCCACGATTGTCCCAACAGAGGCTAGTTGAAGTCGATATCTCTTTAATTCGAACTGAACTTGAAAACATGCACCTATTTTTTGAAATTTTTAAAAATTGTGATATTTCAATACACTGAATTAATTATTTCATTCTGGAAAAAAAGTTAAAGTTCTCGAAGAAATGGAGCCGGAAGTGACTCCTGCGCCCCAAAATCTACAAGAATTATTTTCGTAACGGGTAGGTTATTTGGCAAGTGCTAGCCCCACCCACCCGCCCTTTGTTTTCTTAGAGAGTAGATCATTTGCCAAAATCAATCTAATTTTATTTCTGCTCAGTATAAAATCATTAATTTCATATAGACCGAAATTAAGGCAGGGTGGGTGGGCGGGGTTAATGTAGTTCTTCTATGAAGTGGGGGTGGAAACTAATCGAATCTAGGATGTGAAAAAAAGCGCTAATCGTAAATTCTTTGCTACTGGAACTGTAAAAGTTGCTACATTTCAATTTATTGGAAGCTATATCATTTGCCAAAATCAGTCTTATCTGAGCAAGTATAGCTCCGCCCTTCCGCCCTCTATTTTGCTAGAAGGTATGTCATTTGCCAAGATCACTCTTATCTTAGCAAGCACTAGCTCCGCCCACCCACCCTCTATTTTGTTAGAAGGTATGTCATTAGCCAACCCGCTCTTCTCATTCTAACGACTAATTATATTTCTGTTTAGTATAAAACCATTCATTCCATGGGACCACATAAAATTAATCATTGAAATAGAGGCGGGGTGGGTGGGCGGGGCTAATTATATTATTCTGTCGATTGGGAGTGGAAACTAATACAATCTAGGAAGGTGCAAAACTACAAGGTTTATATCATTCGATTGCTTCCAGTTTATTGGTCTAGGAAAATGAGAATCTTTCGCACTTTAGAAAAAAAAAACACAACTAGCCTCCAAATATTTTCAGCTTCCCCAAAAAAAGACTACGATACCCCGCCCACCCGCCCTCTGTTTTCTTAGAAAGTATGTTATTTGCCAAAATGAACCTTATCTTGGCAAATACTACTAGATTTTTCAATTTTTTGATCTGTCTTTCGATTTTTGATTTCTTTGGGCAAATGAAAAAATGTTCGATTTTTTAATTTTACAATTGTGGCAGTTTTCCGATTTCTCAATTATTTGATTTTTAAATACATCGAGAAAATAGATGTATATTTTTTAAAAATTTCGATTTTTGATTTTTTGTCACCGAGTTTTTGGAAGGGAGTAAAAAGTAATTTTGATCAGCGATTGCCATGTTCACCGTAACTTTAAAACATCTGAAAATTTTGTTTCTGATTTTCAATTTTTGGATTTTTCGATTTTTCAAAATTTATATTAACTTGAGAACTTGAAAAATTAAAAATCAAAAAATTACAAAATTGTAAAGTTAAAACTTGAAAAATCAAAAGATGGAAATTAAAAACTGCAAAATTGTCAAAAAAATTATCAAATGAAATATTCAAAAGTTGAAAAATCTATAAACTAAAAAAAGATGAAAACAGGAATTTGGAATTCGATTTTATAAGATGTTTTTTTTCAATTTTTCGATATTTTAGTTTTTGATTTTCCGATTATACAGTTGTACAATTTTCCGATTTCTTATTTATCTGATTTTTCAATTTGTCATTTTTTTATCTTTTGTTTTATTATTTTTAGCAAGTACTAGCCCCACCCGCCACCCACCAAGCATTTATTTTCTTAGAAGAATAAATCATCTACCAAAATCAGTCTTATCTTGGCAAGTACCAGCTCACCGCCACCCTCCCTCATTTTCTTAGAGGATATGTCATTTGCCAAAATCAGTCTCATCTTGATAAGTACTAGCCCCGTCCACTAACCCTTTATTTTCTTAGAAGAGTGGGTCATCTGCCAAAATCAGTCTTATCTTGACAAGTACTAGCCCCGCCCAC